TGAGTAAAAGGATTGCTGTTTCGGTAATTTTTTTAAAGAATATATTCGCATTTATAGAGGCATCAAAAGCCAATGTTTGGCATCCCCACTGCACAAATATTCCTTTTTAGCAAACGCGATTTGCGCAGGCGGCCGCGAAGAAGCGCAGTCAGAAGTCAGCATTCTGGACTGACAGCAAAATCCTGGGATTATGCTGTTCGTAGATACGTCTTACGATCCTACCTCAGTAATATTTCCTAATCGAAAACGCATTTGAGAATTGTGATTAACATTTAATGAGATAGCCGACTTTCTGCATATATTCTTTAAAACGTTATTTCTTGATGGTCTCGTTGATTCAGATGAAGAACATTTTTACTGCATTTTACCGTGCCTCATAGTTCGCTTAAGCGTGATCTTAATCAGCATTTAATCTGGGTAAGTCGACCTTGTCCACCGGCAGCAGACTTAGGAAATCGGCAGCTATTTAATAAATTTGATTGCCCCTGCTACTGAAGGAATATGGACTAAAATGTTAAACTACCCTAAAATCTACACAAACACACTGGGTTATTCAGAAGATGCTTTCGCACATGGCGCGCAAACCAAAAGTATGACACTTTAACAGGAGTAAAAATAAACATGCGTTAGAAAGTTATTAGACTGTTTAGAACTAGCGCTGCTTTATGGGGAAATGAAGAGTCCAGGACTAAGTACATTTAGGACAAACTGTTCGCTTCTCCTTAGATAGAACGGTTTTTTCTATCATTTGCTTCAATCTAAACCCCACTTTATTTTAGTGGGTGCATTATGGAGTGACTCTATTAATATAAAATTATACCTCTGAAGACCAAATTTATCCTTTGGTTTGGGCATTTCATGTTTTCTGAAAACAGACGGCGCAAAAATCATTACTCTATACATGATCGGACATTTTGCGTTTGCTGTCAGCGTACTCATTGTTATCTAACAATTGTCAGTGTACAAAAACACGCGATTGCTCGTTAGCATTATTATCGTGTTTTAATGTACAGAATCGCAAATCTAAAAATCTCAGTTTTTAGACCGTAACCGCTTCTGATGTATCCAAAATACTCGATTGCCCAGATCTTGCCCCAGACAATTTATGCAAAAATTGTTTTTTATCTTAGAACGCTGGCGGAATAATTCTGTTTCAATCAAATTAACGAAGGACAACAGGAAAATTTCCTAAACACGCAATTCAAGGCTTGATAAACCAAATACTATCCATCTTCTACGAATGCCTACTATTTCCTAAATAAGACGGATCAGAAAGATAGTATACATGAGATAAAGCTTTCCGACCCATTCATACTAATTAATGATATTTCCGAATTTCGTGGAGCCCCCATTGGCCATTTAAGTTCAGGTCTCACTGATCCATCGACCACTTAGATATTTTATCCACAGCAACGGTTTGCATGCATCTACTCGTTTCAGTTAAAGAGACAACATGGAGTGCTGGGATTATGGTAAAAGGCCTAGGCATGTAAATATAAGTATTGTAATTTGACATCCATTATTAAAAGGCTAGGGACTAAGAAGCAAATGATCCTATATTTGCAAAAAAAACTGAGGGAAAAGCGAATGGACAAAGTCGAAGCTCAACCCTCATTGATTGGGAGCAGTTGAGACCAGATTGATGTGGAACTTTCTCGAAAAAACCTAGGGGATGCTGTGACTGTCCAGGACTTTCTCTGAATTAGGTAGAAAATCATGTGCTGAACATTGCCCTTTTTACCAGTTTTTGCTAATTTTACCGTTCTCTGTGAAAATATCTCAGTTCGAATCCCAACATCTATTGCAGCATATCCTAGGCATCCTGGGGCAGACCAGAGGTTTGACACACATCTGCCGGACCAGTTAGTTTGGGTATCTTTATTTTGTGGCGCAATTCCACTCAAACAAACAAATGTGGTTGTGTGCTGATGTGACACAAAAGTAAACGGCGCTGTGATAGCAATAAACACCCATGAAAATGCGAATTGTAACTAAACTGCTTAGCCCAACAGCTTCAGAATCCACGGTGTCCTCCCTATCTGATGTCAGCTCGAGTTCAAGCGTCACGGTAGGGGAAAGGGCAGTAGCCGCCATAATTTTTGTATTTTCCCATATGCTTGTAAAATTTTCAGAATTTTTTCGTTTAGAATGCCCTCGGTTTATTTGCCCTATATGTCATCCTGTTTCTCTAGCCAAGCACCTGCATATTTCATTTATAATTTTTGACTTTCATTGATTCGTAATTTTTTACAACCCAAGGAAAATGGAGCGTCAGGTTGACAAAAGTGAACAGTTCCGACATCTTCTTTTTCTCGAGTTTGTTTAAGCCATATTATTAGTTCGACATCGCCTGACCTGTCAACAGGGTAAATCATTTATGAACCTCATTATGATGAAAATTGGCGTTTGTATGGAATACGAAACGAAGGGAAGATTGGCTAAGCCTCAAAAAGTAAGCAATACCGCAAACCAAACCTAATCTTCATCCTCGTAAGAGGAGGCTGTGTTTCTGGTGGAATTGAAGGAGAGTCATCCATTAAAAATTGTTTAAAAAGGGTCAGACCATTAATTCAGAGCTTTATGGTGGACGGCTCTGCTTTTCAGAGAAAGTGGTTCGAGAAGAACGCCAAAATAGTCCAAATGTTGTCATTGTTCAGCATAACCAACGCCGGGTCTCGCGTCGCAAAATTCACTTAAATGTCCTTGAAGAACTGGACTGATAGGTTCTTCCACATTTACTTCATTCTTTGGACTGTGTTTCATCGGGTTGCAATCATTTTTGGTCAACGGAAAACGAATGAACCGGAGTATCCTTCGATAACTACGCGGATCTCCAAAATTGGATCGATGACTTCTTTACGTCAAGACCTACATATGTGTTTCAAGGACGTGATTAAAAAACTGGCTGAACGTTGGGAGAAGGTTGTCAACAACAAAGGAGAACAGATAATTGACTAGTTGTGTAAACGATATATAGGAATGAGATAAAATTCTGAATTATTAAAAAGCCGCGATTATAAGACGCGACCAAAAATAATCTCGTCTACCAGTGAGATTGGAAGAACAAACTCAGGGTCGGCGTATTGCATCAGGACCAGAACCTTGGTGAAAATATGCGGAAAGCGGCCCGTTTTCTGAATTTTATATAGAGTTAAATGATAAAAAGATAGTTCTTGCAGTCAGTGTCCCAAAAAGTGTTGGATACGGTCATATTTTCAATTGTATTAATTATTTCACCCCTTTGTTCATCGCAGAGTCTTCTAGACCTTTTGTTTGAAATACCCACTGCCGATGAAGAAGGTAGAGTAATTAAAACAAATGGACCAGTTTTGAGAGATCTGAACAATTTGCTTGACTAGATTGTTAACTAATTTACCAGCCTTGGTGAACTTCGGGAAGCTTAAATAAAAATCTGGAAGCACGTTTGAAGCAACACTGCGGTGAACCTCAAATCGTAACGGAAGATCCAAATGAGGAAATAAATTAGCGGATATTTAAAAAATATTCCAATAAACTAAAGGGATGGAATAAGTCTGAATTCTTCTCAGCTTGCAGAAACAGTTCACCGAAAGATAACTGCTATAAGAGCTGAGAAAGAGAACATGCGATTTACATTCACCTGGTACAACAAATGCCACAGACATTGCTGCTAGATAAGCTGAGTTAGAATTGCGATAATCAACATTTTGTCCTGTACATAAAATTTATTGAACGTAAAGTTGGGTTTTTTGTGCCACATGCAGAGGGATGCCTGTTATCAGTCCTTGATTTTTTGTCATGCGAAGCTTTAAAAATTTCTTATGCTTATTTGAACTCTACAGTATTCACACACTAAATGGCTTTTTTTAATAATTTATTTGACCCACTGTAACCACCGAGTTTTTCACAATTGGCCTAAAGGAAGCATTCCAATCAGTCAATAACTCCTACTAATTAAGTCAGTCTAATAGTCATCTGATGGATTCTGGATTGATTGCTTAGAAAATCCCGCTCGATCAGTTAGCTTACTGTATTAAAATTCGGAGATTCCATACGTGGCAGTAGACTGGGGAGAGTAGGCAACTTGACCCCAATATTGCTCAACCCACGGCTTCCGACGGGGTCTTGTAGCTCAGTTAGTTAGAGAGTTGGCTGTACTCAATTCTTGCTCCTTATGCCGTGGGTCCAAATTCCACCGACACAGCCGAAGTTTTTGAAGAAATTGGAAAAGTATTGGTTTTAAGGAGAAAACTGGTTAATTCGAAGAATAGGGAGGACAACCTGGAAGCACGGGCAGATCTTCTCAAAAACGACCTATAGGAAATTGACAGTTCAACGGTCTAAACCGACGATGTCCACAGTGAGCTACGCAGCTAGGTGCAGCAGGCACGGTGACTTGCGCCCAAATTAGTACATAATGAAAATAGACTTGGGCTGCATCTACCGCACTCTCTCTTCCCCACCTCCTACCTGGACTCGGTATCAAGACAGACTCAAGAAGACCGAAGGCGAGCGAGGGTACAGGTTGCTGGGGCAGCCAAACCCGCACCTAAGCGTACCACCTACCCTCTAGTTCACAACAGACACTTGACCAAGATTTCAACCAACGACCAACCAAGGGTCATGGGTTGCTGACCATTGCGTAGCAGAGGCATGCAAACTTTAAGGCCCAGAGAGGTGAGACGCAGCCCTGCGTTTAGCCTGAGCCACTTCCCTTCAAAGGCCAAGTCATCAGTCAGTCGCCGACTGAGAGTCAATACCCATATACATATGTACTCCTCACATGCATGAGGGTGGCAGAGGTCACGCAAAGAGGGGGCCGTTGCAGCCTGACTTTTAGCCCATTAGTCCACCACTCCACACAAAATCCGACAACTCGACTGACCGCATGGACTGATTTGAAGCTTCAGGTGGCAATCTGCCAAACCACGGTGCTTGGCGCACCGTCATAGTCTCAGGCTCGGATCACACTTGCAGCATATGAGCCACAGGGAGAAGGAGCCGAGAAGCATACTTCCAAGTTAAGTGAGAGATGTCAATTGAGTGCTTGCAGTGGGAGGCGATGGGGAAAGATGTGATGGTGCGGTATAGCCGGCATTGATCTCTCGCAGGTTTTTATGAATGCGCATGTGGCGCAGTAGGTACATGCGGCGGCGGGATGTGCAGGGGTAGTGGCGGCAGTCGAGGTGAATGCAGCGTGTATGTGTTGGTGCTCCAGGCATTGGTTCGCCAGTGTCCGTACGATGAATTCGTAAGTGTGCGAGGTGGATGTGCGGTCGCAATGAGGATAGGTATTGACCGAGTCCACATCGCTGGGTGCTGAGATGTTGGTGGCAATGGTGACAGGTAATGGGACGTCGGACGTCATCCCAACGTTGGGAGGAGTGCGTGATGGCGTGGTGTTGACGGAGCTGGTCGCTGTGATCAGCGCAGGGGTTGCGGTTGGGCGGATGATATCGGCGATTGACGTCGGTCGCCGTCCATCCGCACGAGGTGGTGGCCCTAGCACAGTTACACTTGTCTCGGCATGGCGTGGATGCTGAGGATTCCCGTTCGTGCCCGGGATCCGGCCCTGCCATCCCTGTTTTAATATCCGCCGAAAACAGGTGATGTGGAAGTAGTTGAGCCTCCGCGTCGGTTTTGGTGTTGCGAAGGAGGGTGCTGTTCAGGCAGGTGAAGTTGTCCACGACTTGCAGGTGGGCTTCGTTTGCGTTTATTTTGGGTGCATTGTGGGCAGCATTGGGAGATGTATTATGCACAAAGCCCGTCTTCTTCGTGTTCATGATAAGGCCAATGTCGTCGCTTGGCGGCGGCGAAATCGTACATGCTACTTTACACGTTCCCTTCAATGGTTGCGTTGGGGATGTAATCGCCGACGAAGAGAATTTTGTGGACGGTAGTTATAGATACACTTGACTAGAAGTACATCCACCGTTAGGGAATTAAAGACAGGGAAACCAAAGCTGTATTATGATTAGCTTGGCCATCGCTATGCCAACCCTCCACTAACGGCTTTGAGGCTTTGCGCTTGTGCATGTTTGAGAGGTCACCAAAGAAAGCTTATTGATTCGTTTTAAAGTGCCTATTCTGTCAGGTCAAGGACGTGCTAATATGCCCGACAGCCTGTTACCCTCTGTCTTTTACATCTACGAAATATGCTTAATAAAAGTGGCTAAAGGCGCTATTCCAAAAACGCCTTATAAAGCGTGCTAACTCCACTCCTTGTTTTGAACCACATTTTGCATTTCTAAAGCATTGCCTCTTGATCTGAATTTGACGAACTTCACACTGCTTGCTCAGATTATGGAGGTGCGCATCTTTATATCAAATATGAATTCATAAGTTTTGAAAAATAATAGGTCTACATGAAAATTCCCGAGATGCCTAACACTGTTGCATGAAACGAAGTAGTCTTAAACTTTAGCTAATTTATGGATGTCTTTGTCAGTGAAGCACAGGTCTGTAAAGCCTACTTTGTGCTTAAAATTTGAAAAAGCGACTTTTTACGTCTCTTCTCCTTTCACTTTATTTCATGTTTCTCAAGAAGTAATGGGGAAGCTACATGAACGGAAAGCCAACTTAAAACAAAAATAAGACAATGATGATGTTCTAGGCAAGGTTTCAAAGGCAGAACATTTCCCAATGAGTCGCTAAGTAGATTGCAAATCGTGGCTACTTGTACTTGGTGCCTTTTATTCTGATCCATTACGAAGACGCACTGGCTGACCTTCTTAAGATTTCATCAGAAAGTCAGGTAAGTAAGTCAAGTAAGAAAATTAGACAAGTGATATTAAAAACTTTTTACGCCAGGAAATATTGCGATTTTCCGTCCACTAAATTTAGTTTGCCTTGAAAGACAAATCTCATATGAAGTCCAGCTCGACATATTGTATTTATTTAACCGACTTACAAAAAAGGATGCAATATGTATAGTGACTTTAACCCCAGAAATGTGGGTCACACAACAACATCTCGAATTCTTTACCACCGCAAAATAATAACAGACTCGTCATTTGGCCAGACAGTTTAGGGGGAAAAATGAGAAGCACCACGAATACTACTTGCATGTGGTGGAACTAACAGCCTATGAGCGAAAGGTCAATAAGCCATAATAAAAGATCCCCATTTACGAGCTGGTGTAAGCGGTATCAAAAATCGGATAAAGGGCCGAGAATGCGGGCTACCCCCAAGCAGCGCGTTCCGTGGGCTGTTAGAGAGAAACACTGCGAGCGAGTGAATGCCCGGAGAGGTAGGCGTGGGTGGACCGAGCGCCTGCTGTCTATCGGTTTTCATCGAGTAAAGGGGTAATTTGCTTCATAACTCAAGAGGACGGTTAAGCATATGCTTGGCTGACCTGGCTGATAGATATCTCCATATTTGCTTAATTTTATTTCTTTTACAATTTGGTTCAATTTCGATGACGCCTACTGATGTGGAGTGTGTTGCCAGAAATGAGGCATGATGCTTAATCAACAAAAATAATATTTGATCATTCTAAAAAAGAAGACATCCCCGTAGGATTTTAGAGAATATCTTGAGGAGAAAATTGTGCCCACTTAAATGTGCGGTAAATTTATATGAAGGGAAAAATGGCCTTCGGAGTGTGTTTGTGTTTCGAAATTTTATTCTTCGATCGGAAAATCGTCTACCTCCTGACTTTTGCAATGTTTTCTTATTTTCAGCCCTTGCTTTTTGTCGTGCTTTAATACAATTTACTTACGACTTACGTTACAAACTATGCGACCGTTGGACAGGCAGCCTCCTCGATTTCAAGAAACCTTCCCTGACACGGACCAAGGATAATAGACAAAACTAAAATCTGCAGCCTTCACGAGAGTAATATGCGCTGAAAGTCAGAAAACCGTTAAATTTTAAAGTCTTTTGTCAGAAAATGTGACGAAGTGCACGGAAGATCGAGCGAATACGATCCCACTATGATCAAATGCGAGATACTCGTAGATGCTTCATTCCATATAATGTAAAAGTTTGTTTGCTTATCCCACGTTTGTGTAGGCAGGTATTAAGGATATTGTTTCGTTAACGACTATCGATGATTTTTGTGAATTAAAACTTTTCTAATTTTAGTTTTTTTACAAGCAGTGAGCAACAACTATTGATGCAGACAACAGAACAACATTTCGCATCAGGCGGATTAGTATTTTTACATCATTACTATTTTACACGAAGTCAGACTGCAGATTGTCTGAATATATGGTATATAGTCTGCCGGACTTAAAATGCCCATGCTCGATTGTTACTGTAAAGTTCTCATTCGACCCTTTCCGCAGGACTTGAAGACAGGTTTTATTAGACCCATAAAAATTTATCACGGCACAAAACCACACATTGACAAGGTATAGCAGAGTGAGTCGATCCGTCACGGTCTCTCTGTCTTCACATTCAAACACACTTATGCCTTTATTGATAGGTTATAAAAGCTAAAAATGGGAAAAATCCCCTGATTTCCTTGAACTTATCCAGCCCACTTCAAAATGCGTCACTCGATAAATCCATCGACGTAAATTAGGAGCACTCGCCGGGGACTCGTCAAGAAGCCTGGTTTGCAAACCCGAGTATGCATAAAAACACCAAAATTTTCTTTAACGAACATTTGCCGAACCAGATTAATGATATACCTATGGACAGTGCATAAGGTCCGGACAAAACGAATGTTTTCATTCCGAACTGCAGGTGGAAACTGTTGCATGGCTCTAATTTAAATTAATTCTATAAAAAAATAAGTCGATGAAGTTTTTGACAAGGCCTACCGCCCCGTATGTTGGGCTTTTGACCAGGGTTATGGAAATTCTACACACGACTAACAAGATGGCGGCAGAATATGAGGAAAATAGACGCATGCCTCTTAAATACCTTAACATATAGCCAGAAGGAATAATGCCATTCGTAGAGGCGAGTATAAAATGTAGAGTTGGGCCAGGCTAAGGGTAAACTTTAAGAGCTTTGGTTAAAATTAGAGAAAGAGGAATCCCCTTTATGCCTCTTAATTGACTTTACAAGATGCGCCCGGTTGATGCGATGGGGAATGAGACGAGGTTTTTCGTCGATATCAGATAATGTTACAAGAAACGAGCGAAATTCATCATTCAATTCTTTCATCCTTGTGAACTAATCGAAACTGAATAATCAGTTCCGAAGATGAATGTGGACATCGGCCATTCAATGAGTTGAGATTGCTTACTAAACCCCAAAGCGGTAATGTGCAGCACATTATTGCAGAGGTCCATCCTTGGAAAATAAGTGTTCTCAGCGGAACAAATGTCAGCCCCGCCAGGTTACCCAGAGATGCTTGCATTCACACACGAAATATAAATACATCCGCCAGCTTACGAAAACTTGCATATGGAATAACAACCGTGAGCTCTTTCGCCTAAAGGTTCATCAACAGCAAAGCGTCTGTTGAACATCGGCAATGAACTTTTTAATATCCTAAATGCTTGATTTTCACGCTCGATTTCAGTGTGATAAAAGTTCATTTTATCGTTGATTAGCAAAGAAAGGCGCAAACGTCAAAGACCTGCAATGCACCTGTCTCGCGTCATTTACTGGCTAAACCTACAGAGGAGAGTCAGACGAAGTTAGAATATCCATTTTGAAAATAGGCTCGAAAAATTCTGGCGAAATCATTTCACCACGATCTTCCATACCATGTGCGAAGGGTTTAATTAGAAGTCCTCCCTTTTCAAATGGTTAGCACTGTACTCTAGATTACGCATCGATAGTTTTTACTTAATTAAAAAAGCATGCAAAACGTTTTTTTACGAATTTCAGTGATGCACGCAGTTCCAGCAAATTACAAATAGGTACTCAACCAAGGACGAGCACGAAAAATGCCTCCAAAGATTTAAATTTAGTAATCCTTTCGAACCCTGGGCGCTAAGTATCAAGTAAGCGTTTCTCACGTAATAACATCCGAATCAAAGTAATTCAGTCTGAAAGATATTAAACGAGTTTATCGTAACTTTTCCATTTTTTTGGCCTTTTTGTCTTAATTTTAAATAAACTTTTAGATGAAGATAAGACTGCGTATTTCATTAAAGAGCCATCGTTTTCTGCCATGCATGCTGATTATCTGCCAGTAAAATCTGAAACTGCAGCACGTTGTGAAAAAATAACAAGACTATAAGGGCAAAACATGGAGAGACGGCACATTTCTCGCTAAAATGCCTTTGTGTTTGTAACCTCAGTATTTTATATAGTCAATTTGCGGACATGTTTATTCAAATTTTAAATATACAACATGTGTCCTGATTCTTGTCAAAGGAGCTGAGGGCCGACCTTACGGCGAAGACTTTCACTGTAAAATTAACGGTTAAAAAGGTAGCGAAAATCTGCGGCAGGCGCTTAATAGGTGTTATATCAGATTCGTGTGATTCAAAGGAAAGCGTATATAGTAGATATCAATAGATAAATCTTAGGAACTTCGCATCAAAAAATGAAACAAACACATGGGGACAGGGGACGACACCTCAATGGCCAAAGGCTTAACAAAAGAACGCAGCCTGCTGTTTTCAAACTGATCACTGACAGTTGCTCAGGTTTGCAGGCTTCAATAATGTTAAAACGAGAGAAAAGCTTATTCGTTCAAAGAGACAATTATAGAAGAGGAGAACACAGAAGACCAGACGAACTTTTCTCCATAAATATGGGCCTTCTCAATTTCAACGCAAGCCTCACTGGACAACGTTCATATCCGAAATAAATATCAATGGACAACCAAAGAATACTCAGAAGCTGGAATTATTTTGCCGACGACGAAAGGACA